CCTTCCCAGCAGGATGGAAAGAGAAGTGCCCTGACCTCCCTCCCTGCAAGGAATGGCACAGTTGTGCACATCCTTGGCATGGGAACAGCCAGACAGCCATCCCATGGGTATGGGAACACCCAGACATGGGCATGGGAACACCCAGACAGCCATCCCATGGGCATGGGAACACCCAGACACCCATCCATGGGCATGGAAACACTGAGACATGGGCATGGAAACACCCAGACAGCCATCCATGGGCATGAAAACACCCAAACACCCATCCATGGGCATGGAGACACCCAAAAACCCATCCATGGGCACAGAAACACCCAGACACCCATCCATGGGCATGGAGAACACCCAGACATGCATGGGCATGGAATACCCAGACACCCATCAGCATGGAAATACCCATCCATGGGCATGGAAACACCCAGACATGGGCACAGAAACACCCAGACACCCATCCATGGGTATGGAGAACACCCAGACACCCATCCTAGGAACAGAAACACCCAGACACCCATCCATGGGTATGGAGAACACCCAGACACCCATCCTAGGAACAGAAACACCCAGACACCCACCCATGGGCACAGAAACACCACGGGACAGGGCTGAGGAGAGGGCTGGGGGCCACCAGGGCTGCTCCTCCAAGCCCCAAATGTCACTGTCACCTCAGGGATCCCCCAGTCAGGACAGAGACACAACCAGAGCATGGCTGGGAACCTCCCTGGGCCCAGCAGAGGGGAATGCAGCGCTGGGTTTGGAAAGCAGAGGTTATTTCCCACCCATGTGGGGTCCCAGGCAGCTGCCAGCCCCGTGGCCAGTGGGAACAGTCATTTCTGCAGAGCAGGAATTAAAAATGAAATCCTTATCCCACTGTTGCCACTGAGGGTGGGGTGTGCAGGGCTTGGCCCCTCTGTGATCCTAAACTGGAGATGTTCCTCCAGCTCTGTGTCCTGGGATGGTGGCACCAGCTCCTCCCAGGGATGCTCCTCACCTCGCAGCCAGGACAAACTCCTGAGGGATCTGCCACGAATCCAGAGCAGTTTCCACTCCTGATCCATCAATGTGAGCTCCAGCATGGAATCAGCAGCTCATGGGCTCCAATGCAGAGCATCCCAAGGGGATCTGAGCCCAGGATGGAGCTCCAGGCCAAGCTGGAGCAGCCCAGGGGGACATGGACCCTGTCCCAGTCCTGTCCCAGCTGTCCCTGTGCTCCCAAGGTCACTGCTGAGGACAGGGACACACCATTTCCCTCATTGTCACCCCATTTAAGGTTCCTCACAGAGAACAAARCAACCAAGGACAAAGCCAAGGGAGACCCTGTCCCAAGGGCCATCCCTGCGTGGAGGAACAGGAATGTCCCAGCTCGGGATCAACTCTCCCAGGTCCATCCCTGGCAGTGCCAAAGCTCTCCCAGCTCCAGGGCTGCACAAGGATCACCRGGAGGAGCTGATTTCACCTCACAGCCCGGTTTTGGAGTGTTCTGCATGCCTGATGTGAGGGAGGCATGGAGCAGCCTGGGCCACCACCTCGGTCCCGGTGACATCCCCAGTCCTGTCACCGTGTGCTGGGACAGTGCCACATCCAGTGAAGGGACAGGATTTGCACACTCGGGGCTCCTGCAGGCACTGCAGCTCCTTGGGGTCCCTCCTGTCCCGGGAATGTGACACCTTGCCAAGGGCACCAAAGGACCTTCCACACCCCTGGGAGCTGCAGCTGATCCTGCCTCGCCCCACAGCCACACAAGATGGCCCAAGAGCCCTCTGAAGGGGCCATGGGGCCCCAGTCCCCAATTCCAGCTCTCCTGAGGAGGCCCTGAATCCCTCACACCAAATCTCAGCACCCACAGCAGCTGCTGGCTCCTTCACCTTGCCCAYCCAAGGGTGAATTCTCTCCTTTTCTCTCCCACCTTTGTTGTACCATCTGGGTGCCAGTGCCATCCCAACAGGAGATGATYCTGGAAAGGGAAGCATCACCACCAGCACTGGGAAAAGGCTCCTTGCAGCTTTCCTCCCTCGCCCTGTGACAGTTCTCACATCTCCCCAATCCTGCCAAGCAGCTCCAAAGAGCCTTCCTCAGAGCCTCAGCAGCTCTTCAGAGGTTCATCAGTGCCAGCAAGGATCCAAAATGTGCTGCAGAAACAGAGAGGGCAGTCCCAGGATATCCTGGATGTGCACCATGATAGAAACCAGAGCTGATATCCCAACCAGCTCTTAGATCTGAGCCTATTCCCAGCCCAGGAGCCAGCCAGACCTGCCTGGTGCASAGCCTGAGGGTGAACAGAAGCAGGGATTCCTGACCTAGAGAGTCCTGTACCTCCCTGACTGCCTCAGTCATCCYTCAGCATCACAGGACACTTCTCTTTCCATGAACCACAATCAAGCTGAGGTTTCTGTGCAGCATCTCTGCAAATTTTGAACAAGGCTATCTGCTGGWGGATGAATATTCCAATTAAAAATCRTTGGAGGATGTGGCCTGAATAAGAAGGAAAAATACCTGACATACCCAGGCAGATGTTGGTCTTTGTTCCTGAGATATTTTCACAGCTCACACCAAGGAGGGATCCCCTTGTGGAAGGGCTGCAGCTCA